AAATGAGTGCTAGTTTTGTTTTGGCAAAAAAAATCTTTTATATCTTTATTAGCAATCTAAAAAAAAGATGTCGATTCATATTATAACGTTCTATTTCGAGCAGCTTTAGCTTCTTGTCGCACTTAGCGTGACGAAGGCTCGCTCAATTAAGGTCTTCGATGCACTAAATGAGCGGGAGTTTTAAAATGTACAAACAAATCCCAAAAATACTATCTAAGAATTAAAAAAAATCTTTTATATCTTTATTAGCAATCTAAAAAAAAAGATGTCGATTCATATTATAACGTTCTATTTCGAGCAGCTTTAGTTTMTTGCCACACTTAGCGTGACGCAGGCTCCCGTTCAATTAAGGTCTTCGATGCACTAAATGAGCTACTCTGCGAATAGAAAGTAAAATTTGATATAGAAATCGAAGAGTTGAGGAAGAGTGGCATGAGTTTTTACTGAACATGCCAATATTGGGCGAAGAGCGCATTAYAAACAGGATTGTGATCGATCCCGCAATTTATAATGTTTTTGGCATGATAAAATTACAGAAGTCGTGTATCACATTAAATTTTATTGCAGGGGCATTAATTTTTTAAGGTCATGCCTGCCGGAATGTCAGATTTRACTCCTTTCGTAATCTCGAAGCTTTGTGATCATTTTCATTCCTGGTAGTAAGTTCCCATGATGCCTTGCGGTCATTTTCATGCTGGGCATGAAGTCCCATAAAGCGTTGCAACCGTTTTCATGCTGGGCATGACATCCCATGATGCCTTGTGGCCATTTTCATGCTGGGCATGRAATYCCATAAAGCGTTGCAACARACGCGGCAGAGGCGCTAAAAGACAAGCTGTAATCTGATTCTTCTCAATATTTTAATAATCTTGATATACTTTAAATAAGAAATATCATAGATGCTAAAAAATGATTTGAATTGACGGATAACATATGATGTAATTCCCAAGTTTTCTCTGAGGCTGTTGCAATAGTTGACATTCTTGACAATTTCCACTGAAAAAAAAAATGAAAGGTTAATAAGAACTAAGAACTACTTACAGTACTTACATGACAATTGACTCAGATTATTGCTTGTTATATTTCACTAAAAATTACCAACATGTTATGACAAAAAATGTTTGGGACTAGAAATATGGAAAAGTCCTGAAGGGATACTTAAATGTGAGTTTCTTGTTTACAAGCACAATTATGCTGTTCTTTATAACAAGAAGGCATG